CTTATTTTCTGAGTCTTTTTAAGACTCTTCTGGATAATAGACAAAAAAAGGCCTTACCTAATAGATTGACCATTTTATTATATACTCTGCTATGTATTGCAAAGGAGCATGAATACGTCCAAACATGCCTTGGAACACAATTATTACATAATATATCATGTACAGAAAGTATAAAATAATTACATTTCAAAATAAAGTTGAGAATGGGGGGCAGTAGCTGAGGGAGGCTACAAGAGCAGCTCTGAGTTACCTATAATTGTTTTATTTCTTGATCTGAATTCACTTTTAAAAATTCATCAAACCATATGATTACAATTTTCACCCCTTTCTGTAGGTATACTATATTTATATTAAAATTTTATTACATAAAAAGTTACATTTCTGAATGTTTACATTGCCACAAAAGAAATGTTGAGAGCCCGGCCGGGTGTGGCTCAGTGCTTGAGCATCGACCTGTGATCCAGGAGATGGAGGTTCAATTCCCGGTCAGGGCCCATGCCCGGGTTGCGGGCTCGATCCCCAGCCAGGGCCGTGCAGGAGGCAGCCGATCAATGACTCTCTCATCACTGATGTTTCTATCTCTCTCTCTCTCCCTCTCCCTTCCTCTCTCTGAAATCAACAAAGATGTTTGTTTGTTTTAAAAATGTTGAGATACATTTATTCATGTTTCAAATATGTTCTCTTATTGCAACTCTCGAAAACCCCTTGCTAAATAAAGAAAATCTATTTTGCAGTGGTTTGCCTCTGAGGAGCTAGATTATTTCAGCAATTTATTTTATATTGGGGAGAAGTACTTTTTATACTTTACTTAAATAAAAGCCTCTGAAGCCCTCACAATAATGAACCTAGAATAAATTCTAGTTTACACTAACTTGGAAGAAAACACTTTACTCAAAGAATAAAGCAACAGAGATGGGTGTACAAGTTTGTAATTTCATCGAAATCGAACCTTTAACTTGTCTGATATTTAATGAGCAAAAGATTGTGCTAAACTTAGAAAAATCAATGGTGAAAGTAAAATGGAAAACTCCTGCCTGCTGCTCTTGTGCGTTGTATGTACCTAGACTACCTGCAGCTCTGCTGGGACTAGAAGGCTCTCCAAGCCAAGTGGTAAAAACTGCTCACCTTCACTTGAGTTGCACGCTGTAAAGTCACGCGCCAGCCGAGTTCTTCCCAAAGAAATTTTGGGTGACGAGCAGGAATAAGAACGTGAGCGGACCCCAGAAAGCAATGACTCCTAAAATAGAGCATAATAAAGTTTTTAAAAAATGCTACACAAGACTTGAAAGTGTATGTCACCATGAATGTTGCTAAATCAGCATCTTTGTAAAGGATTCAACCTGAAAATTTCTGATGTAATCTTACGGTTTCGGTTTGCCTCTCACAACTTTAACAAAATTTTTTGGGGGTAAGTAGTAGAGTTTATTAAGGGAAACTTACATATTAGCTATATCTTGGGTGGTCTGCAAGACAAAATGCTTTGGGAATAGTTCCTATATACACTTTAGGATGCACTTACGACATGCCAATCAAGTTGGTTAAAGGTGAAAAATGAAGCCAAATGACATTTTCTCTGTATATTTAACAATGAGCATGACATTTTTTTCACCGGAGTTGTCCTTTTTATTTCACACTGTAGCATTCAAGCAAAATTCTATATTAATATATGTCTCTATACTTAGTGATTATTAGAAGGTAGAAGGAAGCCCACTTATTATTATAAGAGTTTTTAAAACTCCCTAACAGCTGTTTAAGTCCATAATGTTAGCAGCAGCCGCAAGGGAGTACACAACAGGTCACTACACAAATCTTCCCAGGCTGCGCTCCTCTTTAGCAGACCTTCCACCCAGCACTTCTGGGATGATGTCTGAGTATCACTGATTTATGTATCTTTATTCCTATTAAGTGACCTGCCATCTTTGTTTCTGTTTTCCCAAATATATACTATTTCTGTTACAGTATTTGCAACATCTGTGAAAATCCAAGATGGCAAGATAATTAAAACTTGGTTTTCTTACATGTTCTTGAAAATTTAAATGAATATGCAATAGATCACCACGAAAACCATTTGTGGTACCCAGCTCCCATCCAATAGAGAGAGGCCTAGTGGCCTTAGGGTTCATCCCACCCATCCATTTGTAAGATCCCACTTAAAGTTAGGGCTAAACTAAAGTAATGCAAAATTTATTACTAAAATTGAGCCATCTGCAACTGTCCTTCACAAGCACTGGTCTCTCCTGTTCCCCCTAAGTGAAGACACATGGCTTCCCTAAGGCCATCGGTATCAAGAGCCTGGAGCAAAGTTGAAAACAGGTGGTGCCTGATCCTGCTTCAGAGGGTCTTGGGCTGTGGCTCCCCTGACTGACTGAGGAGGGAGGACTCTCTGGGTCTGAATGTCAGGAAGGCCAGCCCACGCTGTCCCATCTTCCTAACAGTGAGCTTGCCACAGAGGGCCCTAGCCCAGTGCCACCCTCTGCACTGAAGTCATACACGGTAATCATTTCGTATAATATGAGGCTTTGAAAATTGTCCAGAACCCTCAGGTAAAAAGTAACATAAGGTAATTACAGAGGCAGGGCAGGCTATCCTTAAAGGACAGATTCTTCTTAAAAGTGGACAACACGGCACTGCTTCACAAAGACTGAATTATTTTCATCCCAAGCAATGATGAGTGTTGCACAATTCCACCCAAAATGCAAAACTAAGAATAATCTACACCAACAAACATACTCATTTCTTATTATTCAGAAATGTCACATGGTCTTCAGGTCCAAAAGATTATGACAGTACTACAGGCTTCAGAGCCGAGGGAAAGGGCCCGGGCTCGGTGGTCAGAAGGCCTGGATTTGAGTTCACCAAGCTTGGGTAACGGGGATAGGACATCTCACCTCCGCAGAACATCTGCTCAAAAATTAACATAAAGGCACTGCTTATGTCCCAGGAGAGTTGTGATAAAGCTACATATGTTGTACATGCATACAACATGCTTTGTATGTTGTAGACTATAACTACAAAAATAAAGCTTTATCGTAACAGCCATGTGTTCGCGGTAAAGAGCTGTTGGGGCATAGCACACATTATGCTATAGTAGTGAACTCAATTTAAGAAGAAAAAAGTAGACAATACAAATCGAAAAGGAAGAAAACATATCCAAACACAAAAGGGCCTTCTCTGCAAGACTGGAAGAATATACAATATACAGATGCTGTATTGTAGAATCCTGTACTTGACACCTGTATAATTTTATTAACTAGTCACCCCAATAAATTCAATAAAAAATTAAAAATTAAGTGAAGAAAAAAGAAAATTTTAAAGAAAAATAAGTATAAAATAAATAAAAAACAGCCACAACCAAATGAAACCCCATGTGTAAATGCCGGTGAGAGAAAATCTGTCTCCTATGGAAAAACTGATGAAGTCTATGGTGTTTCGGATTAGGTCGTGCAGCCAGGGACACTAAACAAACAGCACCTCTGCCTTTACTAACATTATATACCTCGGCACCCAGGCCAAGAAAATTTTATGTGAGCAAAACAAGGTTGATCACTTAAACCCACTGAATACTACCAGTTTTTCTCCCTCTGCTTAAGAGACGATGGCAGAAATTTTGTGTAAAATGACAGAATTTTCCAAGTATGTGAAAGGTGATAAGGATCAGTGGTGAATTAGTGAAAACAAATCAGCCTTCTAAGTTAGGCCCGTACAGGTCAGAGTGGGAGAGATCAACAAGACAGGCCCAATCAGCCAGCTCAGGCGTCTCCAGATTAAAAAGTTTATACGTGTGAATAAAACACCATTTGTCATTCAGAGATGGGTAGATTTAGACAGCACGTTTTCCCGGCCTAGAACAAACCACGTTAATACCAATAAGAATACCTTTGACTGCAGGTTACTTGATAAGGAAAGTGACTCAGTCCTGGAGATGTTAAAGTCGGGCTCGGCGCTGGTCTCCAAAGAGTCGAACTCGTCGCCGCTAGGAAGCCCGGTCCTGGAGGAGCTCTGGGACACCGGCGTGTAGCGGGTGCGGGGCTGCTCCGGGGGCCCCTCCCCCTCGCTGTCCGCATCCAGGGCGTCCAGGCTGGAGCTGAGCGGGGGAGCAACAGTAAGCAATTGAGGCGCAGGGGGCTCTCGGGTCTGGCGGCTTCTATTCCCCCCAACTCAAGTTCTTCACTGACGTGCGGTATAAGAGGTACGCATTTAATTTCTTCTGTTTTTAATTCTTAAAAAAATTATTGATTGAGCCCGGCCAGGTGTAGCTCAGCAGTTCAGTGTCGACCTAGGATCCAGGCGATCGGGGTTCGATTCCTGGTCAGGGCACATGCCCGGGCTGCGGGCTGGATCAATGACTCTCTCATCATTGATGTTTCTCTCTCTCTCCCTCTCCCTTCCTCTCTCTGAAATCAATAAAGATATATATATTTTTTTAAATTATTGATTGATTTTAAAGGGGGAGAGAAAGAAAATGGGGGGGAGTGAATGAGAGAGGAACATCGCTTCGTTGCTCCCCTTGGCTGCGCAGTCTTGCTGGACTTGTGTGTGCCCCGGCCTGGGCTCAGCCCCACAGCTTTGGCGTGTTGGGATGACGCTCTAATCAACTGAGCTACGCGACCAGGGCCAATCTCTAAAAAATTTATATTTAAGTAGTTTTTATTGTTTTTTCTTGCCCCCAGTATCCTTGTTTTCAACAAAATTTTGTTGCCCCAAGTGAACATTTCTACTTAGCAAAAGCCATGACAAGTTTTCTAAGGAACAAAAGCTGGTTCGAGTCAGTATTATCCAATTTGTTTTGTAAATGTAATTATTACAAGCCTCAAATAGTTACCCTTCAAATATTAAAGTACAGACAAAACAGAGCCCCCGGCTGTTTGGGGGGCGCTGGGGGTGCGCATGTGAAAATACGCAGTGGCACTCTCTCCCCGCTGTCCCTGGGCTGGAAAGCTGGGGCGGAGGCCAGGAGGGGCGGCCAAGGGCTCACTCCCGAGGCGCTGGCACGGCCCAGGTCAGCCAGGAATCTAGTGAGGTCTCAAATGCGTCGTATTAGATTCTCATTTTTAGAAGTTTTAAAAAATTATCCCATGAGAACTCCACCTCAGAAGCAGGTAGTAATTTTGCTCAGCTACTACTGCTTTTCTTTCCTCATTTAACTGTGACAACCATAACGTTTAAAGGAAAGAACTTGACCTTCCACATTCCTGGCTCATTCCAGACACTGACATTTCAAACCACTCAGGCTTTGAGGCCAACAGCTTCCACCGGCATGTTAACTGCACAGTGCATTTTTTAAAATGAAATTTATTTTAATTGGGGGTATCATTGGTTAATGAAATGATGCAAATTTCAGGTGTACCACTTTATAATACAGCATCTGTATACCCCGTTGCGTGCTCACATCCAAAGCCTAGTCTCCGTCCGTGGTCACCATATATTTGACCCCTTTACCCTCTTTGCCCTCCCCTGACCCTCCACCCCCTCTGGTAATTACTATTCTGCTGTCTGTATATAAAACAAAAAGCAACAAATGAAAAAACAAACAGTGCCTTTTTTCAAATGGATTTTTCTTTGGTTGTTACAGCTCTGAAGTTAAAATTTCAAAAGCAATTTAACGAGGCCCTGGCAGGGTGGCTCAGTTGGTTAGAGCATCATCTCAATAGGCCAAGGTGTGGGTTCCATCCCAGGTCAGGGCACACACAGGAATCAACCACTGAACGCGTAAATACGTGGGACAACAAATCCGTCAGTCAATCTCTCTCCCTCTCTCTAATTAATCAATAATAATAAAAAACAATATAATGAAACCATCTTGATTATGAAATATAGAGAACCAGAAAATAAAACTTTGAAAAACTCCTTTGGGTTATTTTTCTTAAAAAACCACAGGCTGTAGAATAGCCACTGAATATTAACTTAATAAATTACATGACACTTGGTCCTATATGTGTCTCTAGTCCAAACACTTAGATTAGTCTCTAATCCTTGAACTTCTTCAAGGGCCCTCCTGGGCACCGGAAAACCTGGCAGTAAGTAAAGGACATGACTGGCACCTCTGGGGTTTCCAGGTGGAGTTTGTTCCTTAGAGGACACAGTGAGAGCCTTCACCTTGGCAGAGGGGAGGGCAGGACAAATTGGAGGTGACATCACACTTTTCTTTAATTCAACACTCAACTGTGTTGGAGTACATAAAATCATTTCTCATGAAAAACTGAAGCTTAGTGTTAAGAAAACCTTCCTGGTAAATGCGGGTGCTCTGAACGTCCCAGTGATGTAACTACAGGTATTTTACGGTGCTGTGTAGTTTCCTCAATTCAGTGACACCCAGTGAGGGGAGGGTCC